GGAGCTAGGGGTGTGGTTAAATTAAACCCCAATACTGTTTTAAAAGATGACAATGAGATTGAAGATATTGATATTGAAGATTATTCTACTGGTAATTAATTGATTAATAAAAGAGTTCTATTGTTACTATTTTAGTATCTCTCTCAAAGAGTGGAACAGAAAGTAGGTGTGATCTACTAAGCTCCCTGGCATTTGACGAGGTACATGTTTTACATGAACATATACATGTTTTTTAAATGCATGCAATTTGTTGCTAACTATACATATACATGTAGTTGCATCCTGTTCAACCTCATCATGTTGCTATGGCTACGTCTAGAAAAAGAGAAGAAGGGAAAAGAGATGACAACCCTCAGACCTCACAAGTAATTATTATTGCTGTTATTATTGTTTATTGTTATTTTTGCTGTTGTTTATTCGATTAGTGTCTTCCTTCAGTTAGTGACTCAGACTTGTTACCAGCCAGTAAAAGAAAGAAAATAATAATAATTGACAAAGAAGTACCATAAGTAACTTGTAATTTATTCATTTATTCTCCTCTCTCTGTCTCCAGCAGGAATCAGCTGCAACTGTCATCTCTAGTGAAAGACCTTCTGTTAAAGTTTTTGTTGAACAATTGAAATTACATTTATGTAAAAAATCCATCGATAAATTTAAGACAGCTTGTGGTGAGTATAACAAAGTAAGGGGACATGGTTTGTGGTTGGGCTTATGTTGCTGCCCTGTCACTGTAGACAAAGAATATCGACAATTTTTTAGAAGTTTTGAAAGGAATTTTTCGTACTCCTTTTACTTACAACCTTTTTGAAAGTAAGTGACTAAGTGTACATGTAAATAATAATAATAATAATGGGTTCATTTAACTGCTTACTGTATTTTAATGATTGTATGTTTTGGTGTAGGCTTTTCTTTTCTTTTCCTTTTTTTCTGTTGTATAATAATAATAATAATAACAACAACAACAACAAAATAAAATTTAATGTAAACCATTTAAAAGTTTTGTGGAGCTTTGAAGCAATATATGAGTCATAGTTGTTTTGTTGCTGCTAATGATCCTTATGGGTAGTCACTAATGTAGTGTTGTTTTAGTTATAAAATGAGACTTAACTAAAAGGGTTTTAGTTTTAGTTATAGTTAACTAAAATAACACTCTACTAATGTAATCACTAGTGATACTGGTTATACTGGGAGCATTTCTCTGAAGAGTTTGTGGAGTGTGTGCTTCCTCTACAGATTTTTGGTGTTTGGAGCCTCTTTTAGAGCCTCTCTTGGGCCATTTTTTTGCATTTTCTGGCGTATTGAATCTTTCAGGATGTTTCCTGTAGTCTATTCTGTCCTTCATTTGTGTGTCTGACATGAGCAGGTCAATGTCTTCCAAAAGCTGCTGAATTAGTGCCTTGTCCTTTAACTGCTCTTGTTGAATCCTCAATTGCTCCTGTTGAATCCTCAGTTGCTCCTGTTGCATTCTGTCTGCTTTTTCAAGCAGCAAGAAGTACTGACGCTGCATTTCATCCAAGATGCTTTCATTTTTCACACTGTCTTCTGTTGATACTTCTCTCAGTCTCTCTGCTATTTCCATTGTATATGAAGGAGTTTTGATTGTTATTCCGTTTTCTTTAAGTATTTTTATGTGTTCGTCATTGCTTAGAAATCTCATAACTTTAAGCAGGTGAACAGGAAAAATGGCATAAGTAATTAGTATGCATTTGTAGCCGATACTTTGGAGTAGGTGCTTGTTCTCTCTCAGAAAAGGTATCCATTCGTTTAAATCCTTTTTATTTCGGGTTTTCCACTTTTTTGAAAGACTAATAACGACAATTGGTAGCCCTACGACAGTTCCTGGGTTTAGTTCAGGGTTTTCGTCAAAAACTTCAATCAGTTGGCAAAAGGCAGGCTCTTCAATAAACTTAAGATAGTGCTTCTCATACTCTACAATCTCTGCTTGTGCCTTTTTATACCTATCTCCACATATGACCTTGCTTGAGAATTCCTTGAGAAGGTGATAATTTAGGTAACCAACGAACCGATTTTCAATAAGGAACTTAAATACTTCATTCATGTTTGTAATTTTATTAATTAGTTCCAAGTAAGAGTTAATTCCATGTGACTGATTAAAGCACTTTCCTTGCAATATATCCATTAGCTGGTTCTTGACAATTTCTACGTCGGCCTTTTGTGAGAGCTGTTGTATCAGCTAAAGGAGCTGGCGATATTTTTCTTCCAATTCAAGAGCTTGAACTGTTACTACTTCTGATGCTCTCTGATGCATTGAAGTGACAACTATAGAAAAAATTAAAGAAAGGGAAAGAAGTTGATTGGAAAGACAGGTTTATGTGGTGTTTATGGTTGGAAATTCAAATGTATCTACATGTATGTACATACATGTACCTGTGCTTGTGCTCCAAGCAGTT